AATTAAAAGGGATCTGTCTGTGTACACCGGATAGAGAGGGAAGGAGAGAATATATGCTGATAAGAAAGAGTATGTTTGTTCAGAAGGAGACAAAGTAAGACAAATACTGACTGGTATCTTTGGCATATGTATTCAGCAATTGGAAAGCAGAAAGTCAACAACGTTTCTTACCCCAATAAAAGAATATTACTTAGGACAAGAGACCCTCACTTCTTTGTGGGTGAAGAAAGTAGTTTTTCTTTGTGAGTTGCAGATATGGAATACTAATCTGTTTTGATTCACACTCTCAACATTTATAACTTTGACGTTGCAAGACTGATTTATGACTTTTTGAATTCTAACTCCGGATTGTAAAAAGGTAACAGATGTAAAAATTTCAGATCGGCTATTTTTTCACAATTTACAAAAACTAAAAGTATTAAGAAAACCTACCTACTTAAGTTAAACAAAGAAATAATTTTTGTTTTTACAATGATGTTCACCCTGTACAAGTCCCGAGAGCAACTCAAGGTCGAAGGTTACAGTTTAAGAGGTGCAGTTTATTGGATATGTGGGGAAGATAACGGCTAGCCCTAGACTTTAACAGGTTAAGATTGTAGTGATCGGGGAAGCATCCACTTTCAGAGCTGGTTCTACAAAGCAGCAGTTTTGGGGAAGAAGGTGCTTGAGTGGCACTTCCATCTCAATAAATACATACCGAAAATAACAGCCATATATCTCAATAAGGTTATGTGACCACCATCCTTTTGTGACATACAAGAAAAAGGTTTATTCAGTTTTAGAAGTGTAGGAGGGGGACGTCTGGTATTTGATTGAAATTTACTGTAAATTAAATGAACAGGTTAGCTTGAATAATAAATTTGAAGTTTCATCTGTTAAGGTCAGAGAGATGCACATGGTGATATTTCTCTGTAACCATATTAATATGCATAAATGGATGCACGTTTGTGTGTGTACACACATGTAGAGAGTTGTATTTAGCACTCACAAAAGCAGTCTCTTGAAATTTTGCTCTCTCTCACACACACACAGTCTCTCTCTCGCTCTCTCACACATACACAGTCTCTCTCTCGCTCTCTCACACATACACATACACACTCTCTCTCTCTCTCTCACACATACACACAGTCTCTCTCTCGCTCTCTCACACATACACACAGTCTCTCTCTCGCTCTCTCACACATACACACAGTCTCTCTCTCGCTCTCTCACACATACACACAGTCTCTCTCTCGCTCTCTCACACATACACACAGTCACTCTCTCGCTCTCTCACACATACACACAGTCTCTCTCTCGCTCTCTCACACATACACACAGTCTCTCTCTCGCTCTCTCACACATACACACAGCCTCTCTCTCTCTCTCCCACACAGCCTCTCTCTCTCTCTCCCACACAGCCTCTCTCTCCCTCCCACACGGCCTCTCTCTCCCTCCCACACGGCCTCTCTCTCTCTCTCTCCCACACGGCCTCTCTCTCTCTCTCGCACACACACAGTCTCGCTCTCTCTCTCTCTCGCACACACACAGTCTCGCTCTCTCTCTCTCACACGCACACACACACACACACACACAGTCTTGCTCTCTCTCTCACACACACACACACACACACACACACAGTCTTGCTCTCTCTCTCATACACACACACACGGTCTCTCTCGCTTTCACACCCATGGTCTCTCTCTCTCTCGCTCGCTCTCACACACAGTCTCTCTCTTGCTTTCGCACACACATACATGCACACAGTCTCTCTTACTTGCTCATGTACACATGTAGTCTCTCTCGTGCACACTCTCTCTCTCACTATCACACACAAACTCACTTTCTCTTGCAATCTGTTGCACACACTCTAATGCACTCTCTCTCACACGCACTCTTTCTTGCAATCTCTATCACACACACACTCACTCTCTCTTACTATCTCTCTCTGACACACACACACACTCTCTCTCTCTCTCACTCTCTCTCTCTCTCTCTTTTTTTTAAAGTTTCTTTCTCGCAGACATTTATTCTCTAACTCTGTCTGGCTAGATGTCTCTCTTTATTTTAAGCTTGTTTCTCTTCCTCTTCCTCATGACCGATGTGTGTCTCTGACTGGCTGACTCTCTTTCCAAAGTATAATTTCACTGTATTTAATTTCACTCAACTACATTTTCAGTATACTTACTAAGTAGATAAAAAAAAATGTAATATGATCCACATTTTCATTTTGGCCTTTGTCTGGGAATCCTAGATTTGAAGCAACAGTGTATGAATTTTTTTTAGAAAACTTATAGCAGATAAATAATCATGAACATGTTTTAGCCAAAAGAGCATTGGATATTCTGTTGTCAAGCCCATCTGTTAATAAGATCGGCTACCTGTCCAACACAATGTCACACTTCATTCTCAGTATATTTATCATAGAGATAAATGAAAAAAAAAAACACTGTTCTAAATTACATCATTTTCCATTAAAAAAAATAAAGAAAAAAGGTCACATACACTGTTTTCATCTTTATTTTTGTTCTTCTCAAAATCTCTTGGTTACTGAGTCAGCATTGAAGCATTTGCTCAATATCTTTTGCTTACTGGTTATCTCCCTTTTGTCGAAATGGATGGGCAGTAACTGAACAGTACTAAATGAAAAAAAAACAAAAAAAATAGGTATCCCAAGGCATGGGTAGTGGAGCAAGAATTGTCTACCACCATAATAAAGGGTTCAGTTCAGTGTTTGCTGTAGTTTACCCAAATTGATATTCACCTGATGGCCGAGTGGTTAAGGCATTAGACTCGAAATCTAATGGGTTATTCCCTCACAGGTTTATCCTGTTCACAGCGCCATGTCGAACAATCGTGGTCAAGATAAACACTCAGTTGTAGAGCAAGTTGAGTGATTACTAATTCAACATTGAGAGAGAGCTATTTATGGTGCAATGGAGCATCTCATTATGCTAAAGTGGGATAGTCCATTGCTTGGGCTGTGATTGGCTGCTGGTACCTGAGTGGAAGTATTACTATATAAATACTAGCATGATTTCTCAGTTAGTTTGCAGGGTTTGTATTAGGTTACAACCTGCTTTATTTTTGTCTGCCAGCTGGACGCTAGTTGGAACTCTTACGCCAGTAAGTGCTTTTTATTATTGTTATTCTACAACCTGAAGAAGGGCACAGTGTGGCTGAAACATTGTGATAACAACAACAAAGATGGACAATATTCACAAATATTGTAAATAACAATTCCTCTTCTTGGAAATTCAGGTAAAAAATAAAAACTGACATTTATAAATACTTGAATGTCGGTCAGATGACAGTGTTTTAATGCTGGCAATATACTTTTAATATATTAAATTTTGCCATTTTTTGTTATCCATACTTCATTTCACAGAGGTTGTTGACTACTCCATACTGAGAATTTAGACAATGAAATCAGGCAAGGTTGATCATATATAGAGGTAAAGGGGTAGTTCAGAAATCCCTGTAGGTTACCCAGATGAATATACATCTGAGGCTACAATGGCTGAATCATTGTAATACAACAAAGATGAGGACAATTTACAAAGTTTATATTCAGAATATAAATCCTGTAAATTGTTAATTTTTAGATTAAATAAGTTTTTAAAACTTATTTTCCTACAATATGGTGAGACTCAGTTTATTCAAGATGAGTCAGTTTTAATATGGCAAAAAATGCAATCCAATTTACTTTTTATATTAGATCAGGGCATTTTTTTTTTTTTTTTTTTTTTTTACTTACTTTCGTTAAAAAGTGGTTAATGTTTACTTTGCTAAATTTTTTTTTTTACTGACTTTAGAGATTGGGAATCTTTAACCTTTGTACCTGCAAAAAAAAAAAACTCCCAAAAAATGGTATGTCAAGAGGAAGGTTATTCCCTTGACACCACTACTATTTTATACATTTTTGACTCCCTTGCCAATATTTGTTTTTAAAACACAATGATTGGAATTTTAACAAAACCCAAACATGAAAATTTTAATTTATAGATTTTCTTGATTCATGAGAATTGACAACAAATATATTAAACCTTTATTTGTTTATTAGATTGAATAAAATTTGATTTCAAAGTTATTTATAAAATGGTATATAATAAGTATTGCATTGTAATTGGTTTACATGTATTGATAATTTTGTAATTTTTTTTTTATAAATTTTTAAATAAAAATATTTCTTTTCAAATTTCTTTATAAAATGATAAATAATAAATCTTTATAAAAGGTAAATAATAAATATTGCATTGTTCTTTCTTTTGCTTTTAATCCTTTCATCCCAAGCAAGGCAGTAAAGCCTCTAAGACACAAGGGGTTACTGAGTGTGAAAGAATAAGAAAAATAGAGAAACATTATTAAGGAACAAGAACAATAGAAGAAGAGTAATTAAGAAGACAGTAGATAATGATTGACATTGCATTTAAATTTGTTTTCTAATCATTTCACCCCATGAAAGGCAGTAAAGCCACTAAGACACAAGGGGTTACTCAGTGTGAAAGAATAAGAAAAAAAGAGAAACATTAAGGAGAGAGAACAATAGAAGAAGAGTAATCAAGAAGACAGTAGATAACGATTGACATTGCATTTAAATTTTGGAAGATTAAGGTTGGCTGGAAAGCATGGAGCTTGGAGAGTTCCACAGATGAGAAGAGTGAGAAAAGAAACTGGTAGCATAGAGCTTAGTTACATTTAGCCAATATAATTGTAAATTCATGAGACCTTATTACCAATCTAGTAGTGAACTTAAATTCATAAAGTCTTGGTACCATAATGAGTTCATCCAAACAATTACCACAACAGCATTCGGTTTACATATTTTTATAATCTTTTAAATAAACATTGCTGAGGGAGTCAAAAGTGTATACAGTAATAGTAGTATCAAGGAAATAACTTTCTTTTTGACACACCATTTTTTGTGGGCACATAGGTTAAACTTTGCCAAGACATGAATGTTTAATTTGCTAAATTTTAAATACCATTAATTAAAATTTTTTTTTTTATTTTTAATTTAGTTTCAGTGCTGGTCGATTCTCCTCCAGCAGGAAAAATGATACTGCAGGAACATCAGGTGAATCTCCCTCAAAATTTTCCAAAGCCAGCTGCATCCCTCAAGCAACCAACCCAAACCGAGATGGGACTTCATCACTTCACGCTCGACTATCATCACGAGCCCACCAGGATAGCACATCAGGCAAAATCGATTCTTCATCCTCTGGCGATCATAAACAGAACCGCTTAACCAGTGACCCAAATCTCTCTTCTCCACGTCGAAAAGTTACTGAGGACTCAGCTGCTAAAAGAGATTCTTCACACATTGGTCAAAGATCTTTGGGCCGCGGAACATCTGAAAGTCCATCTAGATCTTCACAAGATTCTGATGGCGGTTCTCCTTCGAACATTCCTCTACGGGCATCATACAGGAGAGGTTTAGAAGGGGATAAAAATAGCGACCTTGGGGGTAGCCGCATGCTGCGAAGTAGCGGCCGTCTCAAAACTAGCTCTGGAAGAGTTGGCATCAGTTCTTCAGAGTCTGTAGATAATGCTCCTACAAGAATTCCAAAAGATTCAAAATTGTCTTCTCAGAAGGGTCTCTCAACCAATTCAGAAGTCACTACTACAAATGCTCCCTCTTTTCTGCCAAATAAAAGTGAAAAGTTTCTCAAAGACAAAACATCCCCAGATGGTTTCAGGGAACCATCACCTACCAAAGATTCTCCTCAAGAAGTTGAATCTTCAAATTTGATGATTAATTTAAAAAAGGCAAATAAAAGTGAAGACATAGCAAAAGCACCGTCACCACCAAAAACAATGGATATCACTTCCACAAAACAAGCATTTGATCGATGCGGTATTAAATACAATTCTTGTAGGTCGCGAATTCCCACTCCAAACTCACCGTCTGGTTCTCGTAAGGGATCAGAATCACCTGTACGTCAAAAGCTTTCATCTCATAGCTTTTCGGGTTCCAGAACGACAGAATCGGGCAATGCAAACAACAATGAGACAGATTCTTCCAAGAATAACGTTGAGAGTCGGGCGGATAGAATTGCACGTTATAAAGATCTTCGACGAAGGGAGCTGGCTTCAAAGATCAAATCAAAGTTAGATCCTGAAACTGAACCAGAAACAGTTGCTAGTACAAAGAACTTGGATGCAGATAAAAGTAAGATTGTTAAAGAGGCTGAAGTTGCATCTTCAACAGCCGTTAAAGCAAGCGCCACTCGCTCTGCCACAGCTGATTCTACAAAGATCATATGTGGCATGAAGGTGTCAAAGAACATTGCAGAAAGAGCAAAGAAACGACAAGAACGAATGCTGCGAAACAGTCAGCATCTATCAGCTGAACTTATTGGAAGGCGTGCTAAAATAAGTGCTGTGTGTTCACGAACAGACACACCAGAAAGCAGTGATCCTCAAATGACAATCCTTGATACAAAAGCTGATTCTTCGACATTTGACATGCAGTTTGCCACTTCACAAAGTAAGTCACAGCTTCAGCCATCTTCTTTGCAAGACATGGAATCTTTAAGTCCAAGCTCGTTGTCACTTAGTGATAATGATAAAGACTCTATGTACCAACAATTAACATCAGAATCATCGGATGTTAGCCCAGAAGATAAAAGATTAAGTTTAACCGAATTGGAGTCTCTCCCAGAGATCACATCCTTGGATGAGTTAGATTTAAATATAGATGAGGAAGTGGCTGTCAGTGAGAAAAAGTTGTGTTTCTCACAATTAAGTCCGCCTCTTGAGGTTGTTTCTAATCTAGAATTGTCTACAGAAAAAACTGTTTTGAAGATGAAACCAGAATCTATATATTTCTCCAAAACTGTACCCCAGGAAGGTAAACATACTGTTGTTGAAGAGAAATCTTTGAATCTGTCAGTTGATCAAGAGAATAAATCACCAGTTACCTCCCCTTATAACATTTTGTCCTCTTTGGACAAAAGAGTTGAAAAAGTCAAATCTCCTCTTGCCAGTAGTAACCATGATTCTGGGAATTCCAATGTTTTTCCTGGTAGTAACAAAAGAGATGCTACCAATGTGGAAGCTGGTAGTTGTGATTTCCTTTCAAAATCCTCAATTAAAATCTCTCAAGCAAAAGACGTTTCCTCCAGCTATGCCACTTCTGGTACCAAGTCAACATTTCAAATGTCGAAACCTAATGATAAACATGTCGATGTAGTTCCTGACATACAAGCAGAGGAACAATTTTCTATGCCTCCCGAGAAAGTGCGTTCCAGACCACCTCCCAGCACGGTTCTTTACACAAAGAAGCTTTTAGAATCTGGTAACGTGAAAAAGGACCAAAAACGAATAGACTATGACTTACAGAAAGAACTTGACTGGCTTGAGCACAGAAAATACCAATATGCTGATGAAAGCAATGTAGAGAAAGAGAAAAAGCTTTCGGTTCTAGAAATGGTAAAGGCAGCAGAAGGTAAGACAGATAATGAAGAAGAGAAACCCCGAAGACCACTTGGTCGGACGATGAGCGAAGCTAGAGGAAAAGATGCGGCCCAGTCCAGAAGGGAGATCCTTGCTACTAGAATATCCAGCCTGGGACGTACCCGGTCATTTGGTATGGGCCCAGTCAAAAAACCAGATACTTCAACCAGTCTTGACCAACAGAAAACTGTTTTGTCTCCAATTAAGGATAATAATCTTGATGAGCTGTTAATGAAGAATGTTGCTTATCTGGACGATGAAAATCTACCAAAGGAACCATTAGTAAGGAGTTTACATCCAGGGGAGAGTTTAAAGCTAAGGAAATCTTTGAGGAAGAAGAAAGTAGCCAAACTCTCAAGCTTGCCAGAGAAAGGAATGTCTGAAGACAATAGGTAGGTTCTTTTTGTTTAATTTTTATGAAATTCTGTTGTCTTACTTTTTCTTTTTTTTTTAAATCAATGTCCAGATTCCAAACAATAATAACACAAAAATAAAGAAAATATGGTCTCATGCCTGTAAAATAAATCATTTGTATTTACAAACATATACACATGAATTCGAAAGAGTCAAAAAGGGGTAAAAATAGTCTTTAGTTGACTTAACATCTTTTGGTAGTTGGTCTACAGAGAAAGCTACAATTTAGAAAACACTTTTGATCACCACTGTAGATTCACTGACTGTTCAAGTTTTTGTTGTTGGAGATAATTTGTTTGAAGGTAGAGACGTTTCTTTCAGCACACTGGTGGTGGGGAGTTATGTAGCCACATTTTCTCTTGTTTGAATGGCTTTGAGACAGTTGCATCTCTGCTGCCAAAAGTCAAACTGTTTTTTTTTTTTTTTTTTTTTTTTTTTTTTGGTGGGGCAATTTTTGTGGGATTTTTTTTTTCAAAGTTTTTTTTCCATTTATACACACTAAACTTGATCAATAAGAAATTTTTTTCTTAACTCCACGTTTTTTTTATGTTTGTTGTAAAAATATACATTTTTTTTCCTTAACTCAAGAAAAATAAATCCTCATTTTATATAAACATTGTCAAAAAAAGTGGTAAAAATATGTAAATTCTTTGCCCTGATTAGTCTTTAGTTGCATTACTCTTTGGGTATTTGGTACACAGAAAAATCTAGGGTTTAAAAAAAGAATTTAATCATCAGTGAAGATTCACTGACTGTCTGAGCTGTTGTTGCTGGAGATGATTTATTTGAAGTCAGTGTTTCTTTCAGCATTTGCTGGGGGAAGGAAAAAAGCTATGTAGCCACATTTTGTTTTAACAGCTTGGAGATAATTGCATCTCTGCTCCTGAAAGTTGAAATCTGTGGGGTTTTATGAGAAATTTTTCCTTAAATTTGGCTCGAAAAAAATAGTTTTAGTTTTCTCTGATTGGTCAGATATTTCACATGATGTTAATTTATAACCAAAATATACTTTGATGTGTGTTGCATTGGGAAATCTTTTCATTTGAGAATTGTCTGTTATTGAGTAGAAAGAAAATTTTGTATGTGTTTTAATATGGTTTTTATGTGGGTATGTAATTGTGTTGGAAATAGGGCTTCTTTTCAGTATCTTTCTAAAATCGTAAATAATATTGCATTGTAGTTGGTTCACATATTTTTATACTCTTGTTAAATCACAAAAAATCTGTTGTAGTCTGTATATTCCAAACAATAATAAAAATAAAGAAACATTTGTATGCTTGTTAAATAAATAATTTGTATTTGCAAATACATGTATATGAATTCAAAAGTGTTAAAAAGGAGTAAAAATAGATTTTAGTTGAGTTAAATTCTTTGGGTAGGTGGTCCATAGAAAAAGCTACAGTTTAGAAAAGACTGTGATCATCGGCAAAGATTCACTGACCATCCAAGCTGTTATTATTGGAGATGTTTGAAGTCACTGACACGTTTTTTTTTTTCAGCATGTGCTAGAAGGAAGGAAAAAGCTTTTGTGCTTGAACAGCTTAGAGACAACTGCATCTCTGCTTGTGAAAGTCAAAATCTGTTTTATGAGAAAGTTTCCCCAAAAGTAAGGTAGAGAAAAATAGTGTTTTAGTTTTTCTCTGATTGGTCAATTATTTTATATGGTGATGATAATTTATAACCAATAGACACTTTGATTGAAACGGTGTGTTGTATTGTGGAATCTTTTTGGCATGTTTGTAAATATTTTCTGTTACTGGGTAGAAAATAAAATTTTTGTGTTAATATGGTATGGATGTGGAGATGTAATTGTGTTAGTGTTATACTAGATCATACCTATTCTATTGTAAATAGACTCTCCCACAGATAATAAGTAGTAGTAGTAATAGCAGTTGCCAGTGGGCTCAGTGGAGTTGAGTGAGTCAGTCGATGTCGGACATTGAAGTATCAACCACCACAACTAGATTGCTGCGTCATTAACTATTATTTCAAGTTCCTAATGTTTTGTATGTCGAACCTTTTAGGACTGACTCGGTGAAATACAAGCCTCCACTGTGAAAACTACTCTACAACACTTAGAAATACGGTTTATTTCCTATAAATTCTTGTAAATAATATCAGAAAAATATGTCTGTTTTCAATTAACTCATTGTCTGGTATAGGTAACACTTGGAAAGAAAAAAGAAACACAATATACCAGGTGTAACAGCAAAATTGTCCAATCGTTAGATGAAGATTTGAACCATTGTAGCTTAGACATGATTAAAGATATCTTACTGGAATTCTCCAAGGTTTTTATAACACGTTTGGACTCTACTTTGAACAATAAGAATGTATTGAGCTCCAAGTTGAAATGATGACCCCTGTTCCTGTTGTGACCTCCTGATCCACTTTTCCTCTCTACTGTTCCCTCTTTTTAAAACTTATTCACCGTCCTCTTGATGGTTCTTGAATGGTCTTTGAAGATGGAAGACTGAAGGCTTGAACCATCTTTTTCCTCTCACTATTGTTCACTTGGCAAGACAGTGGAGGTGACACTAAACAATTTTATTCTGTTCTCTTTTTAGCTGAATAACTTACAACAAATAGTGTCAAGATGGTTAAACGTCTCTTATCTGAAAACCTGGAAAAAGGAAACTCAATTAGTTTAGTAGTTTTTTAGGTATTAAACACTTGGTGATGGGCAATTTTGCTGTTACACCTGGTGTGTGTGTGTGTGCGTATATATATATATATATATATATATATATATAATTTATGAAAAACTAGGTAATCCGTATGGGTAGACTCAAGGAGGATAAAATCCAGAGAGCTCAATGTAAATCCAGAGCAAATAATTTAAATAAAAACAGACCACTTTAAGGTTCCATGTAATAAATTATTTCACCACAGCCCTTTTAAAGGACTGCAGATCATCAGACTTTATTTTCAAAGGTTGAAACGAAAAATGGAATGAAATTTACACATTTTTGACAGGAGTGTAAAACTTCCCACTACAGAACAAAAAGCCTTCAGTTTTGAACTGAAATTTGTGGGATGGACAATTATCCCTTGCCGTTACACCCAGTACGCCTTCATGAAATCTAATTGCAAATTTATCACATGGTGCCACAGCCTCACCAGCCAGGTGTTGATGTGGTTTCTGTAGCAAATTGGTTGGCGTTTACTTGTTTCTTGTTGAAGACATTACTTTTTTTATTTTTATTTTTTTTAAATACATTTTTTCTCTTTTTAGTGGGTTCTTTTTGTTTCATTCTTGCAAAGAATATTGTAAAAATGTCTGTTTTCTATTTAACTTGTTATTCTTGACAGACAGTACTCAGAAAGGAAAAAGAAAAAAGAAACACACTGTATGCCTTAGACTCCACAAAACCTAATTGTAAATTTATTACTTCTCTGACTTTCTTTAACTTTCCTATTGAGTATGAAGCCACAGCCTAACAAGTTCAGGTGTTGCACATATGGTTTCCATAGTGAATACATTGGAGTTGACTGATGTTTCTTCTATTTTTCATGAAAAGATAGTTGTTTATTGATTCCAATACTCCCAGGTTCAGAACACAAACACCTATAGAATCCCTTGAACAAGTCATTTTATCAAAAACTTTTTTCCAATTTGTGAAATATAAACTTTTTAAGTTCTGGTGAAAAGGTGCAAGCAGCCCGATGGCAAAGAAGTTACAGAAAGAGGGTTAAAGGGAGATAAACTCTGATTCAAAATCAGAACATTATCATTGATAACTCTCTCCTCCAATTTACAGACCCTAATTACTATATTCTTAACAGTTGATATAATGCAAAAGCATCACAATGAGGAAATCAGTCAATTATTTATACTGGGATGCATGCATGCAATTATATGGAATCCATAATAATATTTTAAATTTTGAAATCATATTTATTTTCGACATATGAATTTTTTGAAATCGTTTCTAAATCTTTCTGCCTCACCTGCTATCTTCTTCCACCACATTTATGAAGTGTGCTACAATGTTTGGGAAACAATGTCTTAAAGGAATAATAATCTTAAGGACATAACCAGTTTATTAATTTATTTGAAAATTTTCATTTTTTTAAAACTAATATTCAAAAGTTAAATAAAATTAAGGGCTTACATCTTACCTTTTTTTAACTTAAAACAACACACTTAAAACATACTAACAGAGTATTTGGTGGTATTTAAAATTTTTATTAACTTTGTAGTTTTGCTACTGTCATAAAAATGGTCTCTTTTCATATAAACATTACACATATGGAAAGAGAAGGGAGATCACCGCCCTCTGTGAGATCAGGTTGAGATCATAGACAAGGAACACCATTGGAAAATTCGCAAACTTAAGGAATCAGCACATATGCTAGGCCACAAAAATCTCCTGAGCCGACCAAGCATAGAAATGACTACAATATAGGAACCAGTAATAAAGAGTGCCAGAGAAAAGCGATAACAGCAAAAAATTGCAATATGAGCTCTGGTAAAAACATGATTGATAACAGCAAAAAATTGCAATATGAGCGCTGGTAAAAAATGATTGCTGAAGACATTAGGTTTATAATACCCAGAAATTCATACACAGCTGTCCTCAAGGATACATGGCACAGTGTATAAAGGCATTTGTTAGATCTAGTGACAGGACCCAAAGGGTGTGAGTTCAATACCCGGTTAAGGCAGTGGAAAACTTTCAGAGGGAAATTAACAGGAGATAACTGATGACTGACATCCATTAAACATTAAACAGTCTACTAAACAGTGAGCAAAATATAGGGTTAAGTTTGACATTCCAACCACCTGAAGAAGGCCGGCGACAAAGATGAGGACAATAGTCTGAATAATGTAAATAATGTACATAATACCTCATCTCAGAAGTATAGACAGAACGTTGTAATAAATTTGGCCAAAACGTTGTAATAAATTTGGCAACAAAGATGAGGACAATAGTCCGAATAATGTAAATAGTGTATATAATATCTCATCACAGAAATAT